AAGCCTTACAAAATCTATTAAAATTTAAAACAACCATTATGGAGAACAACTGCAAAAGGATTACAGAAAAGACAAATTCAGTATATCAGAAGATTCTGATCAGCATTAAGAATGTATCTCTATAGATATCCTGGGGAAGATTCAAGAAAAAAGAGAATTCATCATTAACAACTAAATAAGAGCACACAAAGCCAATACCAGGCCAAATATACAGAAGAGCATAGACGACTGAGGAAGAGTATTGCAGCTGTTGAGTGGAAATATGCAGAGAATCTAGCAATAAGAGCAGAAGATGCATGAAAAGGAAATATTGGGCAGCTATTTGACACAACTAAGAAGCTTGCAACAAAACTTGGTAAATCACAACGACTAGTTAAGAACAAAGGAGGCAAACTAATCACTGAAGTTCGAGAAAGGCGGAATAGATGGGTAGAACACCTTGAAGGGCTCTAGAATATAGCAGCCCCACTGAACCTATCGGATGTAGAATCAACACACACAGACCTTCCTATACATGTTACCTCACTAACAATACAAAAACTAGGAAGGTTATCGGACAAGTCAAGAGTAGCAAAACAGACAGCTGAAGCACTGTAATCAGATATAGAACCAAAAGCAAAATTGTTCCATGTTCACTTCATAAAGATTTAGGACAACAAGTACTAACCGACTAAGAGGGACACCCCAAAAAGATACCATAATTTGCGTGAAAACTACAGTCATTAAACTGCTGTCAACCCAAGACAATGTTTTCAGGAGAGTGTAGCTGAACTAAATGAAAGATTCAGTAGACACAGAACTTCGAGGTTGAAAGGCTGAATTTCGTAAGGATCGACTAAATCGCAACAATTCGGACTATTGTTGAACAATTAATCGAATGGACTCGCCACTATACATCAGCTTTCTTGATCAGGAAACGCTCGACAGCATGAATAAAAGAACGTTGTGGTATCTTCTTCGACATTATGGAGTACCTGAGGAGCTTGTCACTATCATGAAGATCTCCTATAAAGGATTGAACTGTAAGCTTTCCATAAAAGCAAACTCACAGAGTAGCTTAAGCAGATATAAACATTTTAAACTGTTTGGGCCATAAAATAGTAGTTCATTTACACCTAATTTTGATTCATTCTGTTAAAATTGTGTATAGAGTTATTTTTACTAGATAAACCTTTACAACCATAGATCATATATTATATAGGTCTATGTTCAGTAAAACTTAAAGAAGCAAATCTATAGTTATTCATTGGTATTACATAATCCAATCTATTGCAAATCACTGTAATGAACGAAAACTCAGATACGGAAAATCAAATAATAGTTTTGTGGGAAATCAAGTAGATTTGTAAAGTATACAAATAATAAATTAAATATATCATTCGCATATCTTCCTCCATTTGTTCTTTACATAATTTATCATTCTTTCGATCCTATTGTCATTCCGATTGCTCTTCATTTCTTTCCCTTTTTTCTTTATTTCACTCTTCTACTAGTCAGTATTCTACTTCCAATCCCAGCCACATACTACTTATGTCTGTCCGCATCAGTAGTGCACACCACATTATTATCACCTTCATTGTTTGTAATGTTTAACATCCAATGAAGAAATATCCCTAATTTAAGTTGTTTGGAAAATTTATTATTCTCGATTGAGTTAATCGTCAAGTAGATCTTTTCGTATGATTTAGATTTAATTCTAATGGACATTTTTTCTCAACATGAAACTGATATCTAATTTTGAGTCAACTGAAAATTCTTGAATTCATCTCCCAGCAAAATACTCAGTCACAACCGTAGGTGAATGTAGTTTTAAGTTCGTCTTATAAACTATAGTTATATACTAAGCATCTTTATCATACTTGTAATGAGCCTTTTTTTTATCAATTTCTTTTAATTAACGATATACGCAGTGGGCTACCCGTTATTTTACGTGATAGTTTGTAATGCAACTGAAATTACACAAAAGATATAATATACAACGTTGAAAAAAATATAGCCAATCATACTCCGTTATCTTTGGCGTCATCCATATGACTAGAATTGTAGCTCTTCAATGAACCTTTACGAGAAATGGTATTAAGTCGAGTGTATTCTTATTAAGACTAAGTAATAATCATTATATCCATAATTCATGTTTTTGCAATACTTCGAAAACACGACTACATTCTTGCTGTGCTGCGTACATGCATACAAAATTTTCCAGTCATAAATGGTTTCTGTTATTTATGTTCAATATCAATTTTATAAATACCAAAGAACCGTTTTTTAATTAACTGATTCTCATAATCCATTCAAATGTAATTATTGGTTAATTTATATAACTACTTATTACAAAATCTATTGGCTAAAACCAATAGCTTAGTAGTATAAGAAATAATGCATTTATTATTTTAACACACAGATATTGGTACAAAGAGGCACCGAATACATATGAGCCACACTGATCTCATTTGATATGTGTGAGGGCTGTGATACTGCCCGGGTGCCCAACCCGAAGCATTTTATTTTGATAATAATACTCGACCATATATAATAGTTTATGTTGGCACAGAGGAATAGTCTGTATCCACTTGAATGACCCATATTCATTTAACCATAGTTTTATATAGAAATAAAGCTCAATAAAATAATACCTATTAAATGTAACATGAAATTGATTATTTCCAAATTTATTGTAGGATCACATCTAACAAAGTGTATTTAGAAATACTGAATTTTTTATAGTAATGACATAAACTGGATAAGATTTTGATTGTTCAAAGTTCAATCCCTCTTTCCATCTTTATTTCTCTGATTAAAAGGTAAATAATTGTATAATTCATTTATCGACTGTAGAAATATCGTTTAAATCCTAAATAAAATTGATAAGATAAAAAGACAAAATTCCATTCTTAACTTATTGTAATTCTTTTTAATAGTTGAGATCATGAATCAATTGAATCTAAACCACCATGGAAAATCTGGAAGCACTGGACGGCCGTTTCGTCCTAGTATGAAACTCCTTGGCAGTGCGCATCCACGAGCCCGCCTTGCGAGATTCGAACCCAGGACCTATGGTTCTCGCGCGCGAACGCTTAACCTCTAGACCACTAAGTGATACATCCACTATTGTCTTCAGTGACTTACTATCTCACAACGGACTCGGTTGAACGCCACTGGTCACTGCTTCACACTAGAACTCATGATCTCAACTATTAAAGTTATCATAATTCTTGTTCAATATTACTTTCGTTTTTAATTCAATATGATAATTATTCACTGTAATGTTTAGTTTAAGCCTTATTCAAGATATGATATTCTTTGTGTTGAATCAACGTGAACTATATTCAGCTTGATAAGCAATATGTGATAATTCTGGGTATTTTTCATATATGTGACTAAACAATAATCAAATAAGTGTATAAATTCAAACATAAACAAATGTATTTTGTACTACAGTTATCTTTGTGTTCTTTGGAGAGAATGAATCTCAATTTGTACCAGTCTTAATGCTCTTACTTCACACATCTTGGGAATTGTGGTGGTTCCTTGTTACAAGAATAAGTAATAAGTGACGTGAATAAAACAAAACCTTCACCAACAATGATCATCTTATATCTATAAATGTTATATATCAATCACTAACGAAAATAGGTATGAGTAACCAATGTTGTCAAATTTTCTATTCTCAGACTATTTAATAACATCGCTAACAATATTCTGTAAAAAGTAGAGGAATTAATACATACGATTAATTCTAGTCTAAATATCTATATTTAAACATGTTGGATGAAAATGTCATGATATTTCATACTACTCAAATTCCATCATTTCGATTGAATCATAATGCTTTATTGTACTAAGAAAAATAAATCAGATTTTTAGTGCTGAATAAACTTATGATAATCGAAAGTGGAATGAAATAGGATTTAGTTTCACAAAAAATCTTTGCGCATTTCTATCTTATAGACGCTATTCACTCTTAACGCAATATGAATGCATAACTTATCAACCGAAAACTTAACAATAAAGTATCACTTGAAATATGGGCTCTTAGAAAGAAATATCTATAGGATAAGCCTGTATTTGAAAAAAAAACACAATACAGTGCAATAAAGGTGGATGTGCGTAAGTGAAATGCTTAGATACAATGGACAAATGAAGATATTCATTCCCAATTGAGACAAACGGTTTAAAATCACTACAACATTCCATAATACACAACGTCTGTTTACAAAATTTAGTGAATTGTCAACACTAAGCATCAAAAAATTGTAAGGTGTGTGTGGAAATTTTTGTTTAGTTCTGCGTGGTAAAATTTCACTTTCTTGAAAAAAATATTAACAATTAGTAGTTTATTCAAGACAAAGAAACTGTCAGATAAAATAGACTACAATTACAACTCTTTAATATCATAGTTGGCATACAAAAAACGTATCAAGGACAGGCATTCAATATTAATAGCTGGTAAATCATTCACTCGCGCACAAAAAAGCATTGTTGGAATAAAGTCATGGGTACGGCGAAGTGTATGAATAACTTTTTATCAATACAAAAGCATGTAGTGTTTAAGGGAAGTGAAATTACGAAACAGTGAATATAGTAATAATAATATAATAACAATAATGATAGTGTGATAATAATAACAATAATAATAACATAAAAATACAGAACCTCAGTCCACAAAATTAAGACTATAAAGATTCACAAATACAAATGAGAAGACAAAAGGCATTAGGAAAAATAGGAGATTAGTACCTTTTTTACCATTCATCATTTTAGACGTGGCTAGTTATTATTAATAACACTGATAACACGGAAAAAGAAAACAAAACACAAGTGCATAAGAGAGTATCGGTTACGCCAAACAACTCTTCTCAAAGAGAAGTGGCAATAAAAAGAAGTGGAGTTGGAGAGGGGATAGGAAGAAAGAGCAACACACAAGTTTACATTGGTTTGACAGGGAACTGTCGATTAGCTAAGTAAATTTGATTCGGATACATTCTTTGACCCTGGTGAAGTTACTGTTAAAGAAAAACAGAGAGATAATAATATTGGGCATTCTATAAGCAGAAATTCAGTTTGATAAATATGAAGACGAACAATAATTTAAATTATTTGTTTAGAAAAGAAACATTATCAAGAGTTAAGCACTGTAGAAACAAATAGAAATAATATCCTAAATACCATTAATGGTTAAGATTCAAAATTAGATGGATAACGCGGTTAAGTTTGTTTATTATACGTATCTAGAAACGCTGTACTAATCGGAAATTTTGGTTCTTTATTTGACTAAAAGATAACGATAAGATCAAGGCTGTCTACTGTCTCAGTATAACAGTGAAATATAAGGACTACACCATATATCTTAATTGCTTCTGATTGTGATAAGTTGTAAGTATATCATTAGGTGACCAATATCTATGTAAAGCATACCGTTATTTGGCAAGGTAAAAGGTTAGATAGGTGTTTGTACAGTTAACTAAACACTTTCTGACCACCCAAAAGTTCTATTACTAGGATTCTGATTATGCTTCAAATCAAGTTAATATGCACTCAAGTATGGCCATTTACAGAAAAAAGTCAATTAATTGTTGAATAACCTAATCAACAGTAACCCGGAGAGTAATTTTAGGGAAGAATACCAATCTTGAGTGAAGATATATAGCTTTTGAATAGAGAATTGCTAGTTAATATATTTTAATTGGTACCAATATTTCAGGATGTGTATCTAGTACGAATGCTTTATGTATTGAATTCAGAGATAAATGGAGGAAACTTGGACGAAGAGAAGATGCCACATACTGAATCTCAATTATCAGATAAACGGGGTGTGAAGACACGGATAGTAGTCAACAATGTTATCAATAACACGGTAACGGTCTAGTTCTACGAAAAACAACACGAACATTTGGCTTGTGAAGTCAACTTTGGTATTTAATAAAATGTGCTACGTTTCCATGCCGATGCTGTGTTGAATTTTATAATTTTTTCAAAAGTCCAAGGAAAATACGAAGGACAATTGACATAGAAAGCATAAGATCATTTGTCATTAAATACATCAGATCGAATAAAGGCCTAAGCTAGGCTGGATACTCAAATAAAGCGTAAATAATCAAGTATCATATTGTTTGAATGACATCAAATTATGACCATTCAAATGACTAATAAAGGCTGTAATAATCTACTTTCAACAATAAACTAATATTTTAATGGCAAAGGAAAACAGGTAGAGTTTAGCCAGCCACAAGTTTATACCGAAAAAACTTAGAATAAAGGTATATTCCGAGACTGCTTCTTATTCTTAAAAATTTAAAGCATCAAACATATATTTTCTGAATAAATCAATGAAAAGATAACACACCTGAATTAGCTCCGATTCAAATTTCGATATGATTGTTGTTCTGTCATCAGTAGAAATTCCATTACTAGTTAAAATCAAATTCTGATTAATTAAACTAGGATCAGTTGTTAATGCTGATTTTTTTGGCCTGGGTGAAACAGCAGTGGAGGCGGATGAAAAAGAACAATCGGACTTAGTAATAAACGGACTAGTGCCCATAACAGATGCCGTACTTTTTCCATTAGTTAAACATTTTTCACTTGTGATATTTTCTGTCAACATTGACGAGTTTTTACTCTTATTTACTTTATCGTCAGTTTCATGTAATTTTTTTGAAGATGGTGCATTTATAGAGATAGGTGAATGAGGACGTTTACGATCGTAAACAGGACCATTTGCAACTGATAACTTTAAAGTTGATGATAGATCTAATGGCTGAAACACAATACCTTTACGTGAAGCCATTGAATCAATCACATCATTTAAGCGTCGTGCTCTCCGTGGTCGAGTCAATAAAATTGATGGATCGTGTATACGTGCTATTATCGGCTGGGCTAAAGTTAGAAAAATGTATAAAAAGTGAAAGCTTAGTGATGGTTCACATGTTGTAAGGTAACAGTGGAAGATTAATCTTCTAAAAAGTATATTCCGGACGTCATGTGTTAGAGAAAAATCAGTAAAATGAGAACTATCCAGTAGATGATATGCTATATAAAGACTTAGTAGCCACATCAATAAGATCTTAATCTTTCTAGCGAAGATAATTTTACTGTATTAGACACGCACAAAAGTGATTGATTTGTAACATAAGGATTAAAAATACTTTGTTAAGTACAACGTGGGAGGTAATTAAAATACATAGGCACTATTTAACTACTAATAAGTAGGTAAATAAGACAAATAAAAAATAAGGATTACAAAAAGTGATGATCCTAAGCAATTTCTTTCTTCAACTTTCATTCTAAAAATAGAAGTTAGGACGATCTACGTGATAAACAAAAGAAGTCCTTGCCGACTGATTTTTTTCAAAACAATGAATTCAGGAAAAATGTGATGAATAAAAATAAGCACAAAGTATTGTGACTAAGCAGAAATTTCAACAGTAAATCGCACGGGAACCTAACATATATTATGTAACTAATTGATTTACAAATATCATACTGGTAATAGGAAGATAAGTGCCGGGCGATGAATAGATTTCAGTGATATTTTAGATTATGAGCAGACACGTTTGAAAAAATATGACCAGGGAAAGTTTTCAACAGTGTTGAAGTACCGGATGAAAGATTAAGAAGACACCCAACTTCGAGATTAAAAGGCCGGATTCCGTAAGGATAGGTCATGTACGGGCCGAATTGTGACACTGTGGATCATTGCTGAACAATAAAATGAATGGAATTCGCCACTATAAGTCAACTAAGGTGTATGGAGGACAGCTGTTATATACATTACAAGTGAGGACTGGAGTCAGACAAGGCTGCTTTCGCTCGTCCTTTCTTTTTCTTCTGGTGGTTGACTGTATTATGAAAACCTGCACATCTGGCGGGACTTACGGAATACAATTGACAGCATGCATGCAACTAGACGATTCGAACTTGTCAGATGACCTAGTTCTTCTACCACATGCACACCAAGAGATGTAGGCCAAGACAACCAGTGTGGCAGCAGCCTCGATATACACAAGGTGAAAAGCAAGATCCTCAAGTACAACACGAAGAACACCAAACCAATCACATTTGATCGAGAAACTCTGGAAGGCGGTGGGAACTTTCATGTCGATAAACAAGGAGGATCTGATGCAGATGTAAAGGCAAGGATTTGCAAAGGCAGCTATCCTACATTTAAAGAATATGTGGAACTTAGAACAACTATCAACCAACAGCAAAGTCAGAATCTTCAATACGAACGTCCAGACATTCCTACTGAACGGAGCTGAAACTTAATGAACTATTACAAACATTATCAAAAAAGGTGCAGATATTTATAAACAATTATCTACACAAGGTACTTTATGTCCGTTGGCCGGATAACATAGCAACAACCTGCTGGGAGAGAGGAAAAACCAGCTTCCAGATGAAGAGGAAATTAGGAAAAGACATTGGAGTTGGTTACGACAATCGTTGCGAAAACCATTAAACCGCATTATGAGGAATACCTTGACTTGCTTGGAATCGTGGAGTCAAAAGGAAAAGAGGACGAAAGAACACTTTGAATAGGGTATTGGATGAATGAATAGCTCTTGGAAAAAACTGGAAGAGCCCAGGACAGAGTTGGGTGGGGAATCCTGGTGGATGGACTATGCTCCTCCACGATGAGTAACAGGAATAAGTAAGATCTTGAGTTGATTAACATGGACACATACAAACAGATGCTGAAGTCTTATCAAAGTATGCTGCTATGAGTACAAATATTTAGTACAAATGACAGTAAAGTACAGACTGAAAAAAAACTATCATTTGATTATTAGTAATATTACGATTATCATCACAATTACTGACCAGCAGCCTTCAGTGTTGCATACATCAACATCATATTAGATTCAGATAAATTATCCATCCCTGTTAGATTAGATTCATTGCATTCGCTTTCATGTTGAACCTGTTGCTTAGATGAGAAAATTTCTGGTACTCCACCAGGATGTCGAGCTAAACGTAGAGGTTGAACAAGATTTGGACAAAGTATGCGTGCTAGACGTATAATGGACGGAGTTCTAAAGCATTGCGTTCCTCTTGGGGTACCGATTAAAGTACCGAAGAATCCAGATCCATCAATTAATTACTATTAGCAACGGAAAGATTAGCATTATTAGTCGTGTTTGTAGCAGACGTATTATTATTATGATGATGGTCATTTGTATATGTATCAGTGTCACCACCATCTAAAGCCTGAAATAGTAGCAAAAGTGTAGAAAAAACGACTCATAATAAATTAAGAAGTGAAGCAATAATTTAAAACTATGACAGTTAAGTGAAGATTAGTGAAAATAAGTGTCTGAGTTTTGATGAATATTTGTGTACACAAGTACTTTCGCGACATGAGACTTGGTACTTATGGAAGTTCAAACTGATAATTCCGCTGACGACACTGGAGAAAAATTATAGATATATAAACAGACAGACAAGCACACAAACACGGACACACATATACAGATACACATACATATAAATTGAGTGTGACTGACAGGTATGATAACACTACTGGCCACATAAGAATTGAATGTACATGAATAACTATGTATATATGTGTTAAAGAGAAAGAGGGGGTTTCATATTAATCACTCATGTGATGATGACTGTGATAACAAATTGTTAAAAGCGATAGGGGTACGAAAAAAGAGATAAGTTAAAGAGCTTAAACAGGTATCATACATTAATTAAGTAGTTTAGTTCAGTAGGTGGATAGATTGTAGCTGCAAATTCTGTTTACCTCTGTTTCGATTCTCATAAATAAACGAGAAGTTTACATATAAAGTTGTTTGAGTGCATAAGCATAAGCATAAGTGAAATAAAACGACTGATTTTCTCTACGATTACAACAGATTCATTGTCTTGTTTCCTCCGTAATACAATAAAATACAGATGACTTTTTCAAACTTATGTATAGTAGACGATTTTCGTTCAAATGAGAATAATTTGTTTACTTTTAACTAGAAATCTTTATTAACCATTTGAATATTTTTGCTATGAAAATATAAGTAATAGATGACATGGCTCAGAATCAATCACAATGGCGTCGGTGTATACACTCTTTGTCTTCCATTAAACTGTGAGATTAAAATTACTTTATACATTTATTTCTATGAACTATTTATTTCTTCCATATACACAATCTTTCTTTTATATATTACTAACATTGAAGTAAATGCTTCTATGAATTAGGTGTTCATCTTGTTGTACTAATGAGGTGTGGCAACTTGGACCGATACATATATGTGCCTGGTCCTACGTTGTAGCTGACTATATATATCGAAAAGAGTAACAATGAAAACATAAATCAATGGTGACTAACAACAGAAATGCTTTAAATGAATATAACATCATTTGATAAGAATCTAACTTCAGACATACAATTCACAAAGCAAACTACATTTTAATAGTATTAGTTTAACATGAAGGGTTTTGTTCAGTGCTTTTCAAGACTGATGGTTTATGATAGTTGAATAAAGTCACTATTGTTATATTATCCCAAAATATGCAAAGTTTACAGCTCAATAAATGTAGCTATTAAAAGCAAATAGTCTCTTTTATAAATTTCAATAGAACAATGAGAAGACGACGTTGATCTGAAAAATGTGACGTATTTGCGCTATACATTTCGAACAATCTGGTCACACATATACTTGTCAAGACAATTTGTATGGAAATTAATACAGGACAATTAGATAAAGGTTCAACTAAACAAATTAATAATTATGAGTAAAGGGTTGTGGAGATTGTTGAGCTTAGACTGATATCATGAATGGATCAATGTTAAAGAAGTCCCATACTAAGACGAAACGGCCATCCAGTGCATCCAGATTTTCAATGGTGGTCTAACATTGATCCATTTATTAAATTAATAATTGTAAATAAATAGTAAAGGAAAATTACTATATTACTAAAAAAAATTGCTATATTTACGTAGTTATTTAGTTATAACTCATCAGAATACTTATTATAATTCTCTCAGTAGTACAATTACAAACTATTATTGAATAAAATTAATTGATTACAAAGTATGTCAGGATAATTTTTTAAATGTTAAACAAAAAGCCTATATCACTCACTCCACTTGATAAGCCAATAGAATGAGATTTGAATTGATGATTCACTGATCCGGTAATGTTAATAGGACCACCAGATTTTGAATTAGTTTCAACTGTTGAATTGTTTAACTGTTGCTGAGTGCGTAAGGTTGTAGTAGGACGCTCTAAAAATAAAATAATGTCAGAGAAAAGTTAGGAAATCATATTTACAATTATTATTAGACGATTTGTTTGGGAATGTTAAGAGTCGTCAAATCAAAACATTACATCAATCCATGAAGCCACTGACTCTTAGACTGAGATATGTTGGTAGGTGTAAACTACCTTATTGAAGTCCTTGTGACTATCGCAACCGATGGTTAGAGGTTTTGGGTGACATGGTTCGGGATAGTTCACAATGACCCTCCTAGTGCATTCAGCTTTTGTCTTCCCTTAGATCCTAAGTTGCTAAAGTACCATTTTATTTTTATTTCATGAATCCATATTTTCTTCTTCAATCATATCTTCTACGTCTAATATTTCATATTACCGCTAGTACTGTTACTACATTTACTACTCTGAGATATGCTTCGATAATTTTATTTAGCTGCGCTAATGTAGTTTGTCAGCTTGGATCGATGCATATACGTACCAGGTTCTCTGTTGTGCATGACTGAATTTCTCTACAGTATAATACAGTAAAGAACTCTATACTGGATGTCAGAAAACAAAGCGAAAGTCATCCAAAAATATAAAGTTCACAATATAGGTCACAATTTGTTTCATTAAGATAAACAACTTGGATGATATCATCAAAAGGATGGTAAACTTTTTAGGAAAAAAAATATCTAAGTAAAAAAGAACTTTTCCTGGAAATATTGATACATCAACCTTGAAACACAAAAATTATCGTAGTCAAACGGATCAAGTCATATCAGTATCTACAAGACACATTTAGCCTCAAAACAGCTATGAAGAGCCCCGATTTAACGAATGATAAAAAGTAGATTTTGAAAAGAAACAAGAAATGTGTTTGTGTTATAATTGGATAGGATGTGAGTGCTGAAAGTGTATAATTCAGATGAATATCTTATTGTAATTTCAAATACTTTACAATATTTCAAAACCAAAAACAACAACGGATACTACGGCATTGTTGAAACACGACAAGAATCACTTCCGGAATATCGATCGTATTATATATATATATATATATATATATATATATATATATAATACATGTTGCCAAGACAATTCTGTCTTTATTTTCTGTGATACGATTACGATAGTAATGCTTCATAGACATGGTTCATATTTTATTCAATTAGGCTTTTGATATGCACTTAGTATGTTAAATGATTTTAGTAACCTAGTGAATTTGGTAAATTATTATTTCTGAGTATCAGTAGGACAACTGCAAAAAATCATAATCATTTGATATTACAGTGACATTGACCGGTTTCTATGTCTAATACTGAATATAATATTAAACATTTATTCTTTTTAACATATTTAGTAAAACAAAAGTGCAAAGCAGTATCCATGTTTCCATCTACTTGAGAAAAGCGAGTTAGATATGGATATTTACATTTCATTAAATAAAGATTCACAATTTGGACCTAGTACTTAAATCCCGAATTTCAGTACTTAAATCATTTTCTCAGTAGATCGAGTATAAACGAATACGATTCGAAGGTATCAGTGATTGAATACTCACGATTTTAAACTTTCCTCTGGTACTGATAATCGTCACACACTTGTATAGTAAACTAGGGTGGATAATTGCTTCCACTTGTATCGTACCGATCGACTACATAAGTGACATAAATATTGCAACATTCTAGTGAGTAGTGATATTTATGTACAAAAAGACTGCTATTTGATGACAGTCTATGATCAATTCAGTTCAACTGATTAATAAAGAATAAATTACCAAATCGTATTAAAGGACTTTATCATTATTGACATTTTGATGGGTAACAAACATTAAAACACTATAAACAGATGCTATACAGAGAAAGACAGGGAGAGAAAGGAATAAAAACAGGCAATAACTAATTAAATAATGACGAGTTATTAGAACAAACAAAATATAATGAATACAGGATATTAGTAATGAAAATTCATTCGTAAGAAGTGCGAAACACTAAGAAAAAAGTTATGGTGATTGAATACGAGTAAGATATGGAACAATATATATATATATATATATATATATATATATATATATATATATATATATATATATATATATATATATATATATATATATATATATATATATTGTTTTGACAAAAATCAATATATATATGCATATGCATACAAACTTATTGATTATAAAAATCTGACACAAATATGGCCGCAAATGTCAAACAGATTTTGCTATCATTGTATTTATCGATTAGCTATGCAAACATAAAATACTACAAGAATGAAGTCCAATACAGATTTCAAATGGCTAATTTCAGTGAGACTCCGACTGCATAAGATGTATGTATAAGTTGTTGAAGGATCGCAATAATAATAATAATAATGACCAGTACCCAACAGCAAAAATAGACATATGATAGTTTTATACTTGACAAGAAAATGTTCTAGACGATCAAGGTGCCAACCATCATATGAATAAGAATTATTTTGAACTACTTGAATAAGGACCAACAGAACATCAAATGTCCTGATACGTTCGAGGTTGAGGAGGGTCCAAGGAAGTACTATTCAGAGCCTTCTCGCTGTGGCGTTATATACCAAATTGGGAGGACGAAAAGCGAATGTCCGGCGCCTTAACCGGGTTAGTGGGTACGGAAGATCCATCAAGGGGAGTTGGAAAATCCCGATTCCAAACTAATGATGCACATTGGCTACAGGATCCTGAGGGAACGAATGATGTATGAACCCATTGTTGGTTATCGACTACCATAGAACTGCATCTCGTAAGGTTGCTCCACTGCCTTGTGGATTAGACCTCTAGATCAAAGGCTCGGAGAGTAGCTCCCTAAGAAAACCACTTGCTTCGGTTCGGGCGCCCGGACGGTGTTCCAGCCCAACTCACACAAATTGAATGACGAAGTATGGTGCGAATATATTTGGTGTCTGCTTGTGCCAATGTTTATGTGTTTAAATAAATTAATTGATAAACAATTATTATTGTTTATTATTATTTATCAGTACTAAGCATTTTACAACTGAATAGCTATTCAAGACTTTATGCGGTTAGTAAACCACACAAACAACTTGAGGCATGAGTATAAACTGTGATAATGAAAGAGGAAATCGATTCAGTTTATTCAGTTATAAACAATGTAGAATCTAGGGCATAAATATAAATCAATCCGAGTTGCCACATAAATTCTGCACAAATAAATGAAATTACCAGCACAAATGGCAAGACAGTAGATGTAATAACAGTATTAGTTGTTGTAGAAAATATTAGGGATAGAAAATATGATTCGAAAATAGGGGAAAAATTTGTGGAATACAGAGAAATCATAAGATAGTTCCGAAACTAAAGCTTTAAAAGAAATTGACAAGATGAAAGGTAAACGTGTGTAAATTAATCAGATATCCGGTGGTAGTGGATAAAGTGTATCAATTAAGCATACAGTTGAAATGGAATGAATGATGTCTAGCAATATAAATAACAAAATCACTAGTAATAGAAGTAATATTAATAAAAACAATCGTGAGAGAGAACAATCGAAAAGACAAAAGAAAAATAACAAAATTCTCAATTTTGAGAAGAAAACCTAATGGAATTTTCGCTTCATCTTGATAATACACATTCACTTGTAATAAGCTTTGTTTCCCTAGGTATGCTAACTTCTATGATAAATTTGATTTTAAAATATTTCAGATTGAAGCGGCTGATGAGAATCATATGAAATGGAGTGAATTTATACGTAGACTATTCAGATTTTTATTTCTGCTCTCTTCAAGATCATAGATGGAATGATATTTATATAAAAAATACATGATAGTTGACTCATTTTAGTTTTACTCCATAAAGAAGAGAAGTAAATAACTTAGGAAAAAAAGATCACAACAAGGAAAGTAAATAATAGTCAATAAACAGCTGAAAATTAGAGGCTACTTGGCGATTTCGGCTTAGTTTAATACTAACGAAAAGTATAAACCATTTACAACATACACTTTGAAGTTCTTTGGAACGGATCAATATCCCTTCCCTAATCTCTTAAGATGAATTCACGATGCCAGACCTATCCGTCAAATAATAAGTGCACCTGATTGATTAGCCAAGAAATGACTCGGATTTTTACGGAATGAGACATACACAATCAGTGGCTTAATTTTCTAATGGACATATGTATGAATACATATATACACGTTTCCGACTGGTTTAGTCAATAAACTTGCTTCTCCCTTTCAACCTTTTCCTTCGTCCAGCCGATCGGGCTCATATATAAGTAGATTCTATATTAATATCAAAATTAGACACCGTACATCACAGGGCAAAAACGATTACAAATCCACTAACCATTAATTTTTTGACTTTGGATAAAGAGAAATGAAACAACATCCTAATGACTTTTTACACTTAGTTGTTATGTAGCCGATGATATGTGTTCGTAATGATAGTAGTGGCAACTTATAAGGTAAATCGTCATAATTTTAGGAGAAAAATACAACATACATGAAGTTAAGACAATGTTACATCAATATATGTATCCTTTCGATAAACACTAAATATCTGCTTCAAATAAGACAACATGTATGTCGAATAAATGGATAGTCAAATGAAGTTAATATTGTATCATGTGATGATGCTGATGATAATTCTCCTTTGTCACGTTCTTTAAAAAATAATAAGATAAACAAATAAATCAATATCTATGATAACCCACAACATGATTATATAACGTATTATATATATATATCAAATTAAATAAATTACCTTTAGATTCGATACTTTTCAAACCACCATAACGTTTCCAATAAGACCAACAATCAGTACATAGACGAGAGTTAGCATTCGATGGACCCCATGCATACCATTGAGGGGAATTTAATGCTTTAGTTAATAAATGAAAACAAATGCTCTCATAAGACAACTATGGATATAAACAAACATATGAAGTAGTTAGTTACTTTACGAATATGAAATTCTCGATAAAATGATGAATTCATTCTTAAAATGAAGAGATTTTCATAAAGCGATTTGAAAATATATGAAAACTTAATGTTAAGTAATTTTTTGGTGCAGTATAAAAAAAAACGACTTCAATTTCTCAGTGAATAAAAGTGGAAATATATCTAAAAGATGGGATCGTGATTAGACAATTGTTAGTTAGTTTATCTATCTATATACAAATAATCAAATCATGTCAATCAATTTACAACCCAATGAGCTTATATTCACTCGCTTGCCGAAGAAAACGATGGAGATCGGAACTTTATAAAGATCTTAAGCAAAATGCAATAGTTAACAAGTTGAACCACATGTCTAAGTAGACAATATCCAAGAAATGTGAGCCTCAAAAGTCAAGAAAACCAAAACAGTTAATACAATGAGAAAAAATCTAAGATGTGTAGGCTTTTGCTTTGCACATACAACTTGAGGAAGTTACTGGAAAGAACAAACTTTATCACTGTGTAAAAATAGAACCAATTGGCATACTCAGCATCTGAAGCGAAAAGATATGCTGCCCATTTATCTTAAGGTAAGTATGTAGAACAATGGTGTGGTTGGTTATTTATAAATCTGTTAGGAATTGGTAGTCTATGCAATCACAGAATCAGTTAAAACCAAACAAACTAATGGGATCAAAATGTCAGTATCGTATGAAGTACCCAGCATTTGAAATAGAAGACATCATCTAAAAATTTAGAAATGGTATACATGTTTTAATACTGAACATAAGTGACTGAGGTGAATTTAGATTTAGAACTCAATCGATTGAAACTTCCTAATACAGTAGTTACACACTGAGTGAGATTTGTGTATTTTGTGTATACATAACGGAGACATAACCCACGTGTTTATGGTAATAAGACAGAAATCACCTAATATGAAGACACCAAGGAAGTAAGAAAATATAATACCGATACTATTTTAAATTACGTCACATGTGAAAAATAAAAAGAACCACTAAAAGCAGGAAATATATGTCACAATATGAACCTAGAATACCAAATTAGAAAAGTATTTATCTAGTAGTGAAATTTGTTTGCACAAGATCATCATCTAATTATAAGAAGTTCGGTAAAGAAACTGATGGTTATTGAAACTAGAATTTTAAAGGTTTCTTCTAAAACTGACAAACATATAACAATAAAAAATACGTATATGCAATAAAGTGGAGTTTATAGTAAATAAGAACAACAACAGAGACAGTCGATAACTTCAACAAATAATCTATCAAACTCACTGAAATCTCATAACTCAGTATGATGGAAATATGAAGGACAAAGAACTAACGATATGACGAAGACTTAGATCATTAAACAAATGTAGCGCAGACAACCTTTAGTAAGTACATTTCATAGAATATAATTAGTCCTGACAACTAAACGATTATCGATTTAGTTTAATTCTTTTTTCATAGATATTTTCCCTATTTTTATGTGTATATCTCAAGAAAATGAATCACTTTAAAACTCTAATCGTATAATACTAGAAATACAACATCAAATTAAATTAATTGATAAATGTATTCTACTAAGAGATATGAATGAAATAAAATAGATTTATACGAATATTCATCAATATTAGAATGAATAGTTTGACAGAAACTGGGTGCCGAGTATAGAGAAGCCATTATATGTGAAAATTATACTTGAAATAATTTCAGCGATTGAAATTTAAATAATTCCAACGTTTCATCCAACAAATTTGTCTAGACTTCTTCAGGATAATAATCAAATTCAAAATTATCAAGGAAATAACGAGTGTTTTTTCTTTTTTTGAGGAAAAGGAAGAAAAAACAATAGCGAATTAACTTACATCCACATCCTTCACATGGTCGATTAATTGTTTTATCCGTATTATGATATAATACAGCTGGATTAGGTTTATTATAATTTGGAATATAAACTTGTTTTAATTTATGTTCCTGAGCAGCTAATTTAGTTCGACGTTGTCTAACATAACGATCTGTAGTTTTCCAAAAATAATAAAGTTCAACTATTGATTTATGAGTTTTCCATGGTAAGCAATTAGAAAGTATATCTGTGAATACTTTCGAATATTTATCTAATGCTTCTTCAAATATATTTGTTTCATTTGCAGACCAATCTTCTAATTGATCACGATAAATAATAGGTTGACCGCCTGAAATTAAAATTTTCTTTAATAATAATAAAGATTATAAGAGAAGTGGCGGCTTAACGAGAACTTGGTAACTTGACGACCTCATTTTATTCCATTAATAAAAAAGTCATGTCAAAATATACAAACTTCTAAGTTTGGGCCGGTGGAATAGATATCATTTGTAGTTGAAGTTATTTTCTATCCTCCTCTAAATCTTAAATTCTGTGTCACCAAATTCTCGTCATTCTTCGATTAGTTTCGCTATTTATATGTATTACTTATATCTGATTTCGAATGTCAGTGATGCATAGTATGCTGTGGTAAGGTCTAACAACTTGGACCGATATACACCAGTCCTAGGTGTCACCTCAACTATAACTGCCTAACAACTTGCAAAAAAAGGATTTCATTTAACATACTAATTGTGTACATGTTACTGGGATATGATTACTCTTGAAGAGAAGCATTATCCATCCTTTAGTTCATATTCATCTTTTAACAAAGCTATTTAAATTTATCAGCTACCAGAAAGTAGTCATTATCAGTTTGATCTATAATTAGCGCCTGCCAAATTTTATCGGGTCAGTTAGCTATAGTCGATAATGCTGAAAGATACCCACAGGTAATAATAATAACAATGTAGCATGTCAAAACTAAGTTATGAGTCACACTTATACAACCTTTAAACATCCCATGTAACTCCGCTATAAGGAATCTAGATTAAAAGTTTGAATCTATAGTCAAATAGTTGGAAGTTGAGTGTTAATGCTATTCAGCTAGAGAGCTTTATAATATCTACAATCTCAATCAAAGTTGTATCACTTAAAATAAAAACACTACTACTAACGACCTAGTCAGATGACTGACTTGTAGAAATACATAAAACTACGCTCCATCAGTAATTAGAAAGCAAAAAGAAATATGTCAACTGAAAAATGCTAGATAATAAATATAAACGTCTAGTTTATCAAAGACAATATAGTCATAGTGAAACTTGAGTACTTTGATAGTGATTGGGTGTATGTTAATTACAGTATGTACATTATTGTTAAGATATTAGTAATTCTTCCAACTGTTAGCAGCATTGAATGCAAACTATCCTCAAACTTGGTCTCGAATTAAATACTTAGCATCAGTATGAAAATTCACTGATGAAAGTATCCTAATCATACATTAAATAATAAACAGCTATATACACTTTCGTTTACATTAAATATCTATCATACGTACTTATTCCATTTTGAGAATCGCTCCTCGAATTGTCAAGCTTATAAATCTGTTATGTATTTTATTCATGTAATTCTTAATGAGCATTCATCTTTTTTTATTCAACAACAATATACATATATAAGCATAGAATTCCATTCTCCACAGGATGCTAGACACCTTAGCTCGATCGATTTTTCTTTGTCAGTATAGAATCTAAACACATATACATATGCACAGATAAATATAAGAATATATATATATATATATATATATATATATATATATATATATAAGAGAGAGAGAGAGAGAGAGAGAGAGAGAGAAAGAAAGAAAGAAAGAGAGAAGTCTTAATGAACTTTGCATCGGGTCACGAAAACAAGCCAAATTAGGAAGGAAAAAACAAAAACCCTTTCGAGGCCCAAATAGAAGGTAATGAAATAATATTCATGACAAGAAATAAATAAAATTAAACTAACCAGGTAATAGAAGATTTATGGCCTTATTCAAGTCGTAGTTGGCTTCATGAAGTATATCATGCGCATGTTGACGAGTTATATCACGTGCAGCTGAAGCTGTAGCACTCAGTAGAAGTGGTTGTCTAGTAGATGATGAAGTATCATGTGCACGACCGTATGTGCCAACGGCTTTGGCTAATAAACAAAACATATCGATCTCTTGAACTGTTAATGAATGGGAAGGGGACCAAACTAACTCCTCATGTACTTCAGTCAATCGTACATCTTCTGATTCTACAATCAACATAAAAATGAATTTGAATTTAGGATTTATTAAAAGAATTCTTAGTGATGAATACAATTTCAAGCACTTTTCTAAGACATGGTTGTACACTGATTACAGAAATAAAGTCAATCTGAAGGAAATAAATATACTAGAGAGATGTATAAGTTTTTTTCCGAGTTTATTATTTCAGGATATTTAGTTTTTTTTTCTTTAGTGACTTTCTGGACTACACACAACTAAGTTGACAGTTATATCAATTTCCAATGACGTCTTACACAGAACCATTCAAATCAAACCTTTTCTCAACACTGCAAACGTCATTATTTGTTATTGTTATATAATTTCAAGATTATTTGAAAAATTGAATTTTTGTTTCAAAGGTACGTGACAAAAGACGTACACTGTAGAGTATCCCATAAGGTTCCATATAATAGCAACCTATATCGCTGAAAACAACAAAAATAATCAGGACTGAACGACTGAACTTGACTTCATTTCAATCAAATTTCAAGTAGTGTTAACATTTTAATACATCAAATGAGGAAAAAAACAGTAGATAAGAGATTAGTAAGTTAGTAGTCGAGAATTCTTATCACTAACATTTTTACCACTGAAATTGATATCATCAGAAATAGCGCGGTAGCTAGTAGGGAGAAATTTAGCTGTTAATAAATAGATTTGAGAAGTCAGCTGATACAGTATACTAGCAACAACGCAGGAGTCGGTAATTTGAATTGAACAACAATAAGCATAGTCCTCGAATATCAGTCATTATTCACGGCAATCGGAGGAGGTAACAACGGGATATATATATATATATATATATATATATTATATATATATATATATATATATATACATTCTCGATGTTTTAACTGATGCTTTTATTGTTCGGTGATTACAGTATTAGAGCGTCTTAAGCCTTCTTTGGAGTTATTATCATTATTATTTGAATTGGCTATTTCATTTGTACATATATATATAACTTAAGCATCAAATTTTAATATTTGCAAACATAATAACAATGTTACTCATCATTTTAAGAAGTGAAATAACAATAATGTGAAGGTTATGCTGGATTATGAAAACAACGAAACTATAAGCGAATGAAAAGCTGCAATAAATAAACCAATCAATAAGCAACCAATATAGTTGGAAAGCAATTTACTTGATTTTAGTAAGCATTGTATTTCAGACTGATAATCTGATCCAATTCTCATTGAACCTCTATCTTCTTGAAGAGTCTTTAAATTAGGATCATATATAAGTTTATAATAAAATGCCTCATCTCTGACTAGGTAATTTGTCAATGGTTCTGCATCATTGTGTAGTGTAACCGAGCATTTGCCTGAATAAAATATAAATAATAAGTTTATGAGGAGCATTAAACTAGACCTAATATGATCTATTAGTCAAAACACTGTCATATATATAAACTTGAAGACCCCCAAACAATGTATTTCCTGGTGTTCAATTTAACAAATTAAAAGATGAAAGGACAGTGATAAAACAGATATATAAACTCTTCATAATCATAGATAAACAAGAATATCCCGTTGAATTTCATCTTACTAAAAGTGTTTTCACATTTCACATTCTTACATAATATCAATAGACGATCAGATTAATTCGATGATAATAATAATATAGGAGTTTTGACTTGAAAAGTTAGGAATTTTACAGGAAAAATCGAGTTTCGTCAAGATTATTGATAAATTTTGATGAGCACAAAAGTTCATCTAAATATACAACATACAATAAATTGAGCTGAGGAACATGTTACAAGCTACTGAGTAATAAAGTATGCCTAATACAAATGAATAGTAATACGAATTATATCCTATGTGTTAGAATATATTGGTGACTGTTTAAATCATCTAATATGTGGTATTAATTCAATGGTAAGTTTCAAAATCCTAACACACTTGAACAAAGAATGAAACTGACAAGAAAGAAATTTTTATATTGAATAACAAACAAAAAAAGAAAACAATGGATATATTAAGAAAATGCAAATATAATTAAAATAGTCCAATAATATGTTACCCCTAATATGCGTAGCTGGTAGACATTCAACTTGTCGTGAAAGAAACAATTCTCGATGTTTTAACTGATGCTTTTGTTGTTCGGTGATTACAGTATTAGAGCGTTTTAAGCCTTCTTTGGAGTTATTATCATTATTATTTGAATTGGCTATTTCATTTGTACATTCTTCATCATAATCATCATCACTGCCATCTATATTAGAAAATATAAGATGAAATGACAATACAAAGCTAAACTGTATACATATACATGTACAAGCAGTGAACATAAAAAAAGATATTTTTCACATTACTGTCATTACTATCATTGATAGAAATAAACAGCCAAATGATTTCAAAAGTGTAATTCAATCTACACTCAATATCTCTAAACAATAAATCTGGGATGTCTGTACGTAGGGGAAACAACTTAACTTTTAAACTTGATACAACACTATTTGTGTGCCTTGAGGCAATTTACCAATGCAGAAATGTTGGGTATTTGTTTTATGGAATTGGGTTTTTATCACTCGTTTTCCCTTTTCAAGAAATATATCTGAAAATTTTACTCAACACTACAACTGATGTTTTCCTACTGTTTTATACGATAAAGACGAACCGTCTCTCAGTTACTCACAAATTATAGTTACGGTTTATGTATGGTACAAAATAATAAAATTACGTTAATTAAAGATTACCTCCCTGTAAATTTTTATCGGATATGTGCCCAAAGGAATGAGAACAAGATATATATGAGGCAGTAAACAAGACATATCAACAGACATACAATTATAGTATACACATGTACGGTCGTCACATACAGAGAAGTAGTAAAATCGAACAGACAAACAAACAATAGGATGGACCAGTGTTAAGTAAATATACAGACATGACCTTAAGACTAAAAAATCAAGATGGTTGACTTTGGTAACCAACATGGCGTCACCCAATTTAGTGCATATGCGAGCAGCCATTGCGATTTATCAATTTTAATTTAAGAGAAGTCCAGTGGGTTTGAGTGGAAAGAATATAACATCGTTTGGTGCTAGCAATAACCAATTAAGATAGTGTAGTTTAAAACGTTACAGTGCTTGAAATCAAAGTACTACTGTGAATAACGACTGTGTAAAATATTCAAAGAAATTTCTTCCATCTAAATATAAACTAAAGCAATCTAACATATATTAGCAAACAGACAATCAACCGGTTAGTAAGAAATGCAGGTCAACCATATGCACAACAAAAGGGTACTTTGATTCAAATCTCAATAAGACTTTCATTCCATAAAGCGAATTGCACATAAATCACTTTGTCTGCAAAACAGTATAGATAAGTCTAATGCTTGATTTCTTTTGTTGTACAGAAGAAAATTGATCATTAGAATTCAATTAAAGTCATACTAACAAGGAGAAATTTATATACATGTCCATTTTTGTATTTCTTTTCACTTTATTTCTTTATCTCTACATTCAAAAGTCATTATTATATATAACAAAGATAGTAATCATTAATAGTCATTGACTTGTAAGAATATAGTATCAAAATGATTGATTACTTGTGAATCGTACAGTAGGTATTTTCAAATAATAAAGAAGGAAAGAGCTTCAATCAAATTATCTTGCCAACACAATTAAGTACAAATATAACTATTAGCGTTTTACCACCATTTAGGCGTTTATACTACACTAGCAAGTGAGTAAGAATATGAAACGATTTTAAAATAGTGTAAACCTTCTTTAAAGTAGAATATAACTGTATTTCGACATTGAATATTAACCATAACTATTTACTCTATTCTATACTGACATATAGTCGTTGACGATGTATAGTTTTTAGCATTAGATACTGAACACAAACAGTAAATTATCGGTTTTAAAAGAACATGAAAATAGAACGGCGTGTTATATAGAATAATCAATCCAATATATATATATATAGACATACGATAAATTCAATGAGAACCTACAATATTTCTCTGCCTGGTTAATCAAAGCACTGGATACATCACGTCTACGGTAGTAACAGGCAACTTTAGCTTCAACAGCACCAGTAGGAGTCTACAGATTTAAAAGAAAAGTGACACTATCGTTTAATGACGTAGCTAAATTGTAAGGTAATCCAATTAATTATTTGTAAATTTTAGCGATTTTACACTTTAGAAAATGAGGAAACTCAAACTGTAATTTTAAAATACATATTGCGTCAGTAATAGAAAGATAAAACCTTGTAGTAAATGATATATATCTGTATAGTACCGGAGATTAAATATGTATAACAAGAAATTTACAATCAATAAAAAAATCAATAGACCTGAAAAATAACGAGTAACTTGACCATCAATAAAAGCAAGAAAAAGCGATCAATAAGTAGGTTGCGGATGTAAAAGGTGGGACACTAGCAACATTAAGAATAAGGACATGGATGAAAAAAATAATTAGTTAGCTAATCGAAAATGTGTATATCAACACATAAATGAAGAATTTGTCTAACACGAAATATAACCGATTTTGATCACTAAGCCAGTAGCAAAAAACTACAATGGGTTCCAGTTTTGATGAAATATTTGAACAGAAAGTATTTCAGTATTAATGAGGCTTTTCAGGGTATTATGTATCATTTGTATTGTCATAATATAATCAAAAAATGTGTTCTAATAAAACCAGAGGTGTAAGTTATTCATCAGATACCAATGAGTCCCATTTATAAGTTAGTGACGGATACTACCTAAATGATCTAGTTTTACTATATTCTGATTTTGAATACTTTTGATTTGTTGCGAACTTGAACATCACAAATAACGAATTATGCCAAAGTAATTTGCTATTTTAATAGGTTTTCGACAGAAATACACTAGATACATTAAAAGTAAAAGGCAACAACAATTAAATGAACTAAAGAACTCCTCACATTCTAATGAAACGATGATGAATGTCTTAATTACATTATATTGTCCTAATGTACAAAGAAATTATCTATGGAAATAATCTAAATAAGTCAGTCACATGCAACGTAGAATCTGACTCATACATGCATCGATTTAAGTACCTACCCATAATCAAAGTGAGATAAAATTATCATGACAAATCACAGAGTAGTGGAAGTAATAATGGTATCAGTAGTATTAGAAAATAATAGGTGTGGAAAAGAAATGAAAAAAGTATGAAGAGATTTTGAGACTCAGGTTCCAAGGGAAGACACAGTGAATTTACCTGAGCAATGGCGAGCTATTCTGAGTTATGTCACTCAAATTCTCTAACAGTTGGTCACGATAATCTCGTGGACCCCAATCAAGTAATCTACACCCATGGCTTAGTCCAATTGTCAACGACTTCATGAACCGATGTTATGTTTTGGTTTGGCCGCCACTAGCTTATTTCAGCCTACTCCAACACCAGATAACATCGCTCGTCGAGGTAGACGGTGGTTGAAGATACGTAACACACGTTTAGACTACACCAGTTGATGAAGACTCACTACCCCGTTAGAATCAATTCATTAAATGCATAACTACGCTCTTTACAGACAGATATGGATATGTTGTTTATTTAACAAGAAATTAGATGTATTATATATATATATATATATATATATATATATATATATATATATATATATATATATATTATAATCACTGAACGGTGTCAGCTAAGAGGCAAAGTTACATATAAGTAGAGCAGGGTAATATACAAACCGAACATTAAAAATTCCATTGGTTGATAGATGTTACAAATGTAAATTACAGAAACTAGCGAAATTTTCAACGGTTTGCTACGAAGCGTCACTGCAAAAACAGAT